AAAAATTAATTTTGGCAATACAATCTGGAGGTGGAAAATACCACACATGTACAATACACATATATAAACATACATATAGACAGAAGTAAACAAAGACCTTACAGCTTTTGTTTCAAAATTTTAGCGATGCGACGGTAGGATAATGCAAAACTCACTGGTTTGTGAAAGATGCTGGATCCAAATCATGTGTCTGGAAGATGAAATAAGTAAAGGTCACCTGCTCAGGTGACTAAAGCTTTTTACTAATATTTGTTTATTTGCCTAAGTTTCAAATAACCTTTTCCCCTTTTGTTTTCCTTCTGATAAGAATTACCTCCCTGAAGTTTTTATTTCAAAGACATGGCCTAGCTAAGTCTTGGGAGACCAGGTAGAACATTTACATGCCAAAGGCACAGGGAAAAAAATGCAAGTTCCTCCCGGAAGAAACTTCATGTTCTAAGGTCAGAAGTTTTACAACACTGGGGCATCTGGGTGGCTCAGTTGGTTAAGCATCCAACTTCGGCTCAGGTCATGATCTTGTGGTCCATGAGTTCAAGCCCCACATCCAGCTCTGTGCTGACAGCTCAGAGCCTGGAGCCTGCTTTGGATTCTGTGTCTCCCTCTCCCTCTTTGCCCCTTTCCGTTCACACTCTGTCTCTCTCTCTCAAAAATAAATAAACATTTAAAAAAGAATAATTTTTACAATACTTACACATCTTTTGAGATAAATAGAGGTGGTTCTAGGATTGCTAACTATAGGTGAACTGTGACTTGTGACTTGTTCCTAGAGCCACATTTCTAGTTTTGCTAAGATGTGTAAGATAAAAACAGTTGTTTTTAATTCCTCAAAGAATTAGATTACAGCCTAATGATACCAAGGGGCTGATCTGTCCATCTAACCAAATTACCTTCAATTTACATCAGGGAGTGGATTTCCAACTAAGATGAAAATCCAAGATTTCTATGTTCTGGATTTAGACCTGTTTGTCTTTGGGATGTTTTACAAAATCCTTTCACAGACATCAGAAGGTTGTTCTTTCCTTCTGGATGTGTGGTTTTATTTTAGCTTAGGGAAAAATGTCTATGTCAGGCACTGAAATCAGCTTCCAGTTTCACCAACTTTTGACCACTGAGCTACTTTACAAAAATCCTTTACATATTTTGCCCGTTTTCAGCTGAGATGAACAATAAATTATTTTTGGTGGTATTGAACAACCCTTGTTGCGTTTAAGAGGAGGCAAAGAATACTACTTTCTCAAGATTCAGAGTCACTCTGAAATATGGCCAAAAGGAAGAACTGACAACTTTTGTGTTCAAGGCAGGCAGAAACCCAAGCCAAGTTCTTAGGACACAAAACAAGACAAGCAAGAAGGCAAGAACTCTCCCTGGAGGAGACAGAAAGAGTCGAGAATCAGTGGGTTGGGTTTGGAAAGGAAGAGACAACTCAAGAAATTTTATTTTCTCCTCTTGACTGGGCATGCAGAGATCCAGGAGAGCTGACTCTGGTAGGAACCCTCACCTTTCACCGACTTCTGTCAGTCTTCCCCAAACCCCATCTGTAGGTTCCAAGAGGGCTTAAAGAGTCTAGCTTCAGTATCTACCAGAATCTGGCAAAGTGTTTCATTCATTTGTAGTTTCCCTTGTTTGTTTAAGGGAGTGACAGCCGTTTACCAGAAAATTCCTCAGAGTCCCAACAACTCTGGGAGGGGCCCATATGGGAGCTCTCCTTTAAGAGTAGACATGGAGGCATCTATAAGGCCACTTGGTTGGCAAATTTTGTTTTCAGTCTTATTCCAAAGTCCTTTCAAAGTACTTGGCTGCAGTCATGAGTTCCATCAGACTGATGGGGGCTCAGTTCCAACCTGTTTTTGTTGTTGTGTTTGTTGGTGTTGTTGTTGTTGAATTTTTAATCAGTCTACTAATCTCAGGGACTGATCCATTTACAAACAGCGCAGCTAGAGCAGGTTGGGTGACCTCATTTTTTGCATGGAACCTGAATGCCACAGGAAGAGTGCTTCCACACAGGCTTTAATGTCTGCCACAGATTCATCTTTTTTGTTTGCATGTTTCAGTAATAAACCAAATGGTGCGTGCAGGGAAAACTCCTCCAAAGGATGGCTTTTAAGAGATCAATCACTATTTTATGAACTTTTTCTGGTCCACGAGGGAAGTGTGTTTCAGATTGAGGATCCTGAGCATCTTTGGGTTTACACTGATCTGTTTCCTGACTCCATGTTTGGGCTTCCTCAGGGCCAACCTGCATGTGCATAAGCTCATAGAGATCTGGAAGCCTGTGGTCCTTGGCCCTGGTAATGATGAAATTCTTCAGGAAACTTCTGGGGATCCTCCCTAGGTTTAGGAAATTCTGTTACTATGGTAGTTCACTCTTTGACCAAGGAGTTTAAGATATCTTTAAAAAAATTTTTTCATGTTTATTTTTGAGAGAGAGAGCGAGCACAAGCAGGGGAGGGGCGGGGGGGGGGGGGGACACCGAATCCGAAGCAGGCTCCAGGCTCTGAGCTGTCAGCACAGAACCCGACGCGGGGCTTGAACTCACGAACCATGCGATCATGATGTGAGCCAAAGTTGGACACTTAACTGACCTACCCCGGCGCCTCAGGAGTTTAAGGCATCTGAGGAGGATCTCCTGCAACCTGGGGTGACCCATTCTGTTTGTTTGGTTTGGGAGCCCTTGCTTTCAAAATCTTGTCTAACAGGAATGTTTCTCATAATGGCCATTGTAATTCTAGGTTGTTTTTAGTAAGACTTGGTCATTGTAAATATCTACAGCTTCTGGGACCACAGTTCTTAGACACCAGATAAGTAGTTGTGCCGAAAGGTGGTATGTTCAACTCTCTGAGCTAAGGCTTTGGGTCTTTTGGAGCCGAACTAACACCTAAGGGGACGTGTGGCTGGGCTGGGGATCGTGTGATGTTTGGACCTCACCACACGGAGACTTTCTTGAGGTTGGCAGGTGATCTAGCATCAGTGTAACCTGTTCTGTGACCAACTTATGGATAAAGTTAGGTGGCAAGCATTCTAACAGTTTTTAAGTGCTCAACGCATGCAAGTCAATTATGCAGCTTTTAGCTTCCAAGATTTCCACTGCCTTTACCTACACAAAACACACTGGTTCCAGGCCAGCTTAAGCCACACCTAGTTTGACTCCAGTTGGCAACTGCCAGCAATGGGACTGGGGACAGGACTAAGCCAGCAGACCCCAAACAAATGGAGAACTCTGGAATGAACCACCACCAACATGGAATCTGAGATTCAAGCAAGGGTAAGGATTCTGACCAGACGGGGAACTGCAGTCCCGACTCCCAGCACTTCTCAACATGGAATCAGGGACCAGAAGCAAACGACAGCTTAGAGAGCCAACAAGGTCAGGAGCTTGACACAGAGAGAGCAGAGCTCAGAACCAAGAGGAACTTACCCACGGCCCTCCGAAAGGGCTAGAAAGACAGAGGGTTTGTGGGTACCCTGCCTGTGTTTCTCGCCCCCAAAGCCGTGAGAGGCTTCCTTCAGATCCCATCCTTGCCACCAAATCTGTTAAAAGCCAAAATTCATCTCAATAAAATTTAAAGATCTTATTAGTTTTATTCAACAATTCACGAATGGGGTGGTACCCCACCTGGCACACAGAAAGAAGTGCCCAGGAGCTGCAGAAAACGTTAGAGTTACGGGCAGAAAGAGGTGGGACAGGGAAGTTATTTTAGCAGAGCCATCTTCCTTTGAGGGGACCGCAGCGGGGAAGAGGGATCCATCTCGGATTATCTCATTAGTGCTGGCCAGGTAATTCCAGACTGCCCAGCTTAAGATTCTACTCCTGGGAGAGGCTGAAACTGCAATCCATTTAGGTATTAAGCCTTTGTTTGGTGATGTGGGCTTAGCACAATTTGGGGCCTGTTGCCTCTATTTAAATAATACTCTGTAATTTACAAAGTACTTTCCAATGTGTTTTAGTTATTTCTGAAGAACTCCATTGCTTTTCAGTTGACCAGCATGCCAATGGAAACTTGCAGTCACACATAACTACAAAGCACTTAGAATCTAATTCGTCCTTCCAGTTTCCACATTCGGAAGAAAAATAGCATGGGGCCGAGGATAATAAACAAAGACGACAGAATTAATCTCCTGGAACTCCAATGAGAAAATGAACAGACCCATACCAGAATTCCTCATGGCTCATCAGCACCAGCTAACTTTCTTCAAAACTCAGGTTCCAAATGTCCCATATCTCTTTCAAATTTCATTTTTGCAAAGGAGGGAATGAACATTTTCTTACGTGAGCACATTAACATTTTTGGCCTCTGAATGAGTAGTTTTTTTAAACTTTAGAACCTATACGACTGTGAACCTCTTCGGAATATTTTCAGTCTGTGAGAAGGGAGGGCTAAAATGTCCTCTCATGGTTCACAGGTTTTATTCTTTATAGTTCACAGGTTTCTTTCTTTTAATCAAAGACCAGATGGTCTCTTTTTTATAGGTCCTACAGGCTACCTTCTCTTTATCATCTGTTTCAAGTAGAATAATTAGAAATCTTACATTTTGGGAGTGCCTGGGTGGTTCAGTCGCTCAGTTAGGCGTCTGGCTTCAGCTCAAGTCACGATCTCACAGTCCCTGAGTTCAAGCCCCGCATGGGGCTCTGTGCTGAGAGCTCAGAGGTTAGAGCCTGCTTTGAATTCTATGTCTCCCTCTGTCTGCCCCTCCCCCGCTTGCACTCTCTCCTCTCTCTCTCTCTCTCAAAAATAAACATTAAAAAAATTAAAAGAAAAAAGAAATCTTTCATTTTTTAGACCTTCCTAATTCCCCCGAAAGGGAAACTCTGCTGGAAGAGGCAGAACTGGTTGTTCAGTGAGATAAGGAGGAGCACAAGGAGAGAGCCAAGGACATTCCCTTCCTCACACCATAGGGACAACTTGGGTCTGAATGATCAGTGCATTAAATGACTCTGCTGAATAATCAGATTCTAAACGTTAAAGACAATTATGTACCAAATAGACAGACAAACATGGTGGTATATTTTAAAAGCCAGATATATTTTTAAACGATCATGCCTACAATAAGTAAATTATGTAGTGATGGAACATCAAAAAAAAGTTGATGAACAAAAAGGCACATTCTAAGAGTTCAAGAGTAGAAAGAACAGAAGAGTTCCTTTTGGTTTGGTTCTAGGGTAAGAGACAAGAGAAACAGGTGTACTAAAATTATATCTCAGGTGAAGGTTTCTGTCAGCTGAAGCAGTTAACATTGGCGTCTTTCTCCCTGGTCCAAAGCAGTCTTTTCTTTCATTGACTTCTGAGAGTGTGTTTAATCTTCCTTTGTGTAGAGATGATACATCAGGGCTACCACCAGCGCTGAGATGGCGGGGATCACCCAGTTGGTCCACCAGCTGGAAAGAAATGGCAATGATGCTTGTATGGTGCTCGATACACAGGACTCAAAACCTCTGCTCTTCTGATCACCATGAAAACCACTGTGGCATGTTTTTATTACGTCTCTAACGTACCTGGATGAAAAGCCAACTAACTCGTTAAAAGTGACATGAGCACATCACATGCCCTAATATACCAGCACCTGCTCGGCTTTATAAGAAAATGAACGGCCCCACCCCTGTTCCACTTAAATCTATTTCTATAAACTTATACAAAGAGCTATGAACCACTCACTCCCCCAATAGATGCTACCGATAACCAGTGACTTACCTAAGGACACGAACTCTGAGTTACGGATCACAAGTTCATAAAAGCAAATATTCCTTACAGGTTTTATTCTACTCACATACACTAAGAATTTAAAATAGTACTAAACCGAGAACCAGAAAATCAAGTTTCTCATTTTGGCAGAGGCATCAACAGGTCTATAACCGGGAGAACAGCACATCTCCTCGACTGTGAAGTTAAGGACTTTGAACCACAGGATGATTAAGGTTGCTATGTCCACCACAACTTTACATTCTCCGACTCTGTTCTGAAAATCTAATCTGTACAAATGCACAATAGATTTAACGCGGGAAGAAACAGCATGCCCAAACGACTTCATCTGTGGTCCACAGGTGTAAACCCAGAAAACTCCCTAACTTACACACTGTTTCAGTCCTGGTGCAAAGAACTTCTGATCTACTATGAATGGCAGATGACAGATCAAATCAGGGACAAAGCTAGGATGATCTTCAATTTAGATATGAACCTTTAATTACTTAGAAAACAAAATATACAGCTTGTAAAATGTGAATTAAGACAATCACCTATGAAGACATATATTTTCTGGCATAAACTTTCTACCCTGTAAAACTTCACACATCAACCCACACAAAGATGGAGTTCATTAACAAGATTTAACCTGCACAAGGGTTACAAATGCAATTTTCATCTTGGTGGGCTTTTCAGTTTTCATTTAGAAGGAAACTGACCTGCCCATGAAACATAGGATGAAGTGAGTACTAACCACTGCCTGAAGGCAGGTAATGTACTAGAACACCGACAGAGACTGGGGCGGTTACATTTGACAGGGTGAAAGAATAAATAAGCATAAATGTGTGGCTTTGAGCTTGGGGCCAAATATCTCTAGCTACCAGATACACAGATACATATAGTCCCAATTACACAAGTCAATATGCTAGAACTGCCAAAAATGTCAATACAACGTTGGACTATACCACAGAAATCCAGTCCCTAGAACAAGGGACTCGTTACACTTGGAAGAACACTGACCCATACCTAGAGAGACCTAATCACTACAATGTTAAAACCGGATCATATACTGAATGAGAAAGGAAAGAGATGTTTGCCTGGAGAGTAAAACATTGTGCTGGCCACAGGACTACCGTGGAGAAAAGGAGACCCATTTGTTCAGTCTGTCCTATAGGGTAGATATGGCCAGAGGGTGAGATTCGGGGTTGTTCTGAAGAGGGTCCCGAGTCTGAGCTGACAGCTGAGGAGAGAGTGTCCTGAGTCATGTGGGTGCCAAGTGGGGACAATCCTGGGATGTCCACTGATGGGGGGGGGCCCACAGTGGACACCTGTACCTCAAATGGGGGAGGGTCCCATAATCCCACTCTGACTCTATGAGCTTTCTGATCACAATTACTTTAAAAGAAAACTACCACGTATCACGTACCTGGAATTAGAATCAACAGTAGTAATGAGAGTCTCCTGAAACACGAGAGAAAAAGTAAACGTAAAGGGAACATCTAAACATTTATTCAATTGAGTAAGAACTTCTTTTATAAGTAGGTCACAGTATTTTACTCAGTACATTCTTCCAAACACATTGAAAGGGAAAATTAACATCATAAACTTTTCACTAAAATGCCCAATTTCACCATTTTTTCAGAAGGAAAAAAATCTTAAGAATCATCTGTATGTAAATTACTTACAAACCTAACCTAGATAATTTGAAAGAAAATGTTAAAAATAGCCTATATATAAAATATCCTGTACACAATACATATCTGAATACTTTAATGGAGAAACTGAAAACAGATTATCATGTACACATACACATAACCCCGCCACTACCTTCAGGAAGAGCAGTTTAATTTTTTAAAAGCACTGATGAAACATTCAATAAAAAACATTAGTTATTTCATTCAAATTTTATATGAAGTAAAGTCACCCAAACTGTATTAAAAGACATGTCAAGCAAAAAGAGAGAAGTAAAAACAGTCATTTAAATTACAACACTCTGGGGGCACCTGGCTGGCGCAGTTAAGTGTCTGGCTTGATTCCAGCTCAAGTCAAGATCTCAGGGTCATGAGATCAAGCCCCCAGTCAGGCTCTGCGCTGACAGTACAGAGCCCGCTTGGGATTTTCTGTCTCTCCCTCTCTCTCTGCCCCTCCCCAACTTGTGTGTGCACACTCTCTCTCAAAATAAATAAGTAAACTTCAGAAAATAATTACATTAATTAATTGTAACACTGTGGACCACCACCTTTCCTGGACTCCAACTCTGACAAGACGGCTCTAAAAAGATACCGGAGGCCTTAGGGACTGGTCTCTCACACCGTCACTAGCCAAGAGCCCTCTGAAAATAAGGACGCCCTGTGCGTGTGCTGGGGTCTTTCACAGTTGCAGCCTAATTTACCTTCCAGAACTTTCTGAGAGAAGTTCTTCTTGTCAGTACCATGAAAGTGAACTAATTTTGGCTCTGGAACAATACATACTTCCCCAAACAGCTGAATAACTAAGGCCTAAGAAAAAATAAACTGTTCTGGGCTTGAAAACTTAAGAAGCATTCTTTTGAAATTTCACACCAGCAGAAGTATTAGTGCCTCAAAGGAAGGTAAGTAAGGCAGCTTCCTCAGAGAGTTCATCTCCGCAGTTTCCCAAAGCACAAGACAAGCCAGTAGCAAAACAATCAGCAGTCTGCAGTGAGGCAAAGCGACACACAGCAGGGCGCATTAGAGAAACCCCATGAAAAGGCAGAAAACTTTTAGGGAAGGGCAAGCAAAACAGTTAGGAGACCCACAAACCTGGAAACATGGCCTTTAAGATTCCTGACACAATAGGAGGGAAAAAAATAAGTCATTTAAAAAGGAAACGTCACACATCTATTATCTCTTTAAGCAATGTTAAATCTTAGCGACTACACAAAGTATTCATAATGACGGCAAGGCTTTTCAAATTTTGTATATATGAATAAAATTAACAAGCATTACCAGAAGTCAGTGGACTATGCGAAATTATTATTCAGCGATTAGAAGACACAATGAGTCGTGAAAACCAGAGTGCAACGGTTCATTAAAGGTAAAATATTATTGTCACAATAGAAAGTTAAGCCCGGAAGAGTAAAACAGAACGCGAACACAGATCTGTTATTTGTTTATACCAAGTACACGCATTTTACCAAACATGCTGACAACCCTGTGGAAACTAGGCTGGCCTGTCCTCACTCTCCAAACACTACCCTGAGCGCTCATGCTAAAGCAAAAACTCTTAGGGTGTTTGATCCTCTAAAGAGCTGTACTTTGGGGCACCTGGGTGGCTCAGTCGGTTGAGCGTCCGACTTTGACTCAGGTCATGATCTCACGGTCCGTGAGTTCGAGCCCCGTGTCGGGCTCTGTGCTGACGGCTCAGAGCCTGGAGCCTGTTTCAGATTCTGTGTCTCCCTCTTTCTCTGACCCTCCCCTGTTCATGCTCTCTCTCTCTCTCTCTGTCTCAAAAATAAATAAATGTTAAAAAAAAAATTTTTTTTTTTAAAAAAGAGCTGTACTTTAAGAGATTATATATATTTCCAAGTGTTTATTTTCTGTTAGGCTCTTAACCCAGAGGTGCCTGGGAGTTACAGCAAAAGTCTGAATTATCACTTACCACAGTGCTGAAAAAGGAAACTGAAACAGTCTTGTCGATCCAGTGGTCTGAGGGCCTAAGCTGGGTTTCTATGTGTAACTAACAAATACATCAAGACCAACAGGCAGAAAAGACTATGGCTTTTATTATAGGCTCTGCCACCTGCTCACTCCATGACCTTGAGGAGTTCAACTTCACATAGAAAGGTCAATAATTCAACCAGTGCAAGAGAAGCTCTATATAAAATAATGCAAAGCGCCTCGGGTCTTTGCAAATCAAAATCCTCTCATTTATACATTCATCTTTCTTAGCCTAGTCCCTAACTGGAAGGCTTTCCTAACCCATGCCTTTCCCGTGCAGAGCCCACACAAGAAGCTTCAAGAAACCGCACCTGCCAAGCTGGAGATGGGTGCTAGCCATGGTTCTGCAGCGTGTGACCTTAGACAAGGCCAACGCTCGGAACAAGGTCTGAGCTTCACTGTTCTCACCCTCCCTGGAAGGTCTCTGGATCCCACAGGGTCATCACAAGAACCAAATAAGGTCATTTAAACAGCAATGATTTGAAAACCACAACCAAGAAAAGGTATCGACACTCCTGACATCCTCCGTGTAAGCAAATGTGATAGGTACAAATTTGTTCAGAAACATGTCATTTCTGTCTACCAATATCTTACTTTGGCAACTAAACACCACGTTTTCCTCTGGGCGGGTTCAAACTAGTCAACTTTGTTGCATCCTATTTTACAATTCAACTAGATATTTTAAACAGGCAACGCTGAAAAAATTCAGAGCACAGCTTACATTGATCAGCCTGCAGAGACAGACAGATGGTTACACAGAGACACAACAACAGAAATATCTAAGGACTCTCGCCTGGCAAACTAGAAGCCCCAGAAAGAAAAATCCAGAAATGTGGTCACAAATTTTCCTTTACTGTATCTGCCTGTGGCCTCTAAGGAAGATGGCAAGTTCTCAGCCGCTTTCTCCACTTCTGCTGATAGAAGCAATGTCATGTGTGTTCTCAGAGAGGAAAGAGTCTGTCTTCCAGAAATGCGGCAGCGCGGTAGGGGACCCACTGACCACCTCAGCCCTAATTTCTGTCTCTGGGCATCATGGTTTGGGATACGGCTGGATCTACATTAAATCTAACTTGATATAATGAGCCTCATCAAACCTTTGTTTTATTGTAGCTGAATGATTTGCCCTGAAATTATTAACATACTGAACACCTAACAGGAAAAAAAAATGTATTTGTTCCCTGAGAGACTGTGGAGAAAAAGCAAAAACCACATGCATCACAGGATTTCACCTGCCCCAAACAAAAGTAGCCCCCCAAAAGCTGCTAATGTCGTATGAATGAACAGCAGGGACTGTTACAGAGGCAGCAACTGTTACAGAGGCAATTCAAATTCTGAAGTCCATTTCTTATCTTCCCAAGGTATTCGAATCACCAACATTGAACTTAAGCCTTTGGAATAGGGAAAGAAGAGAATATAAATGAAGGTGCTGTGCAGGAAGCAGCACGATGCAAGACTTTTATTGTACTACCGGGGGTATAAAGGTAAGCATGGCCTTCATGCTCTATTGGATTCACTGCTTGGATTTTGCTATAGATTAAAGACAACGTCTTGTCAACAGCAGCTGGTTCTTCATACAAGCCCCATGGAATCCCACTGTTGTCCTCTAGTAAAAGCAAGAGCAGAAACCAAAATGGAAAAACTATCCTTTGTTTCTGTGGCTTAAGCAAAACTTTCCTCCAGATCCTTTAATTACAGGCCAGCAACCATCCTGTCTGCTCGTACTTGTCAGGGATTCTGGTTGTTGGCATCAGTTCTTACTATGGGTTTACCTTCAGAGGTGTGAGATCATCAGCTCAGAGAGAAGGGCTAGTGAACCAGGACGTAAAACTAGTGTCCCTAGAACTGTTTTCCTTTCCTAAGGAAAAATGCCCCCAAAAGTTATTATTTAATTTGACTAACATTAAATCCATGCAACCAATGTTTATTTTACACCTACTATGTGCCCCGGGGACACAGAGATGACGACGACACGGGTATGTTCTGCAAGGTTCAAGTACTAAGATCTGTCCTCAATCAGACTTTATGCTCTCTGAAAATCAGGTTTGTGTCAAATCTTTCAGATTAGAAGCACAGTGCTACTTATAAAAAGAAGCTCTTGAAGAGGTAGCTACTGACATTCATGAGGAAAAAATTACGTATTGAGGGTCTTACGAAGTGAACACATAAGCTGTTCTAATGAAACACAATGGCTGATCCACACATGAAGTATTTTCCTGAGCCAACACGTTACATATTCATCTAACCTAGAGAGACCTATGCTGGCCTCCAATATGTAAAAGACCTCTGTCCTCCAGTTTGACAGACATTAAATACAGTGGAGACACATACGGTCCTGAGACGCTGAGATGATGCACTTACCGAAGGTTTGATTATCTTTGATCTGTCATCCTGCAAAGGAAAAAAAAAGCACATCATGGAATGAAAGTTTACGAAAGCACCATGTCCAAAGCACTCGCTTTTACTGAGATGTTTTAAAAAACCTTACTCTTCAGTAATTATTAGCAATTTACATTCATCTACCTAGGTTGTTATTCACATAGTTTGATCCATCTGAGTTGACTGCTAAAATTAACAACTGATTAAGTGATTAATTTTCAATCTAGAGTTCCAAGGTTTAGAATATCATCCATGATAATCCTATTTCTATGTTGATGTGCATATATATTAGACTTGGATTTTGATCTTCAATTCAGAGAGCAGCTGGGATCTAATTAGATTCTTCTCTTCTATCCTCAGAAATGAGTCTGTGTGTGTGTGTGTGTGTGTGTGTGTGTGTGTGTGTAATTCTGTGTGATATCCTTAGTGAATTCCTGCAATCTCCCAGTTGGAGGGCCATAATTTTCTTAAACCTCTGGTTGAGGGAGTCCAAATTAAGGGGCATCTAAAGGTGACCACAGAGGAGCCCAGTAGGCAGGTGAGGCAGAAATGCTGTAGTCACAGCCTGAAAACCCACCTGCTCTAAACCCACAAGTTTTGGAAAGGAAAGAATCAAACATTTTAGGGGAAGTCCTCTCCAGTTACCAGGAAAGTACCGCACTTTGATGAAGTGTGAAGATGAAGATGATAAAAACAGGTGGATGAATAAACTCCCCGGATAAGTGAGGGACACTTTCAGGGCACCACCTCCTGCCACCAAACAGCAAACAAAAAACCCCACCTCTCCCTTCAACTGAAATTGCTCTACAGCACATTTCTGATCTTCAGGCTTTCCATAAAAAGCCTACTTTAAGCTTTCCTTCATCCCTGATCGTCGTAAGAAATGTCAATCAACAAAACTTTTCATATGGGTTTTCATCTGTCAGGGGTCTCTCAGAGTGCCTGCTTGGGCTAGGGCCACACGCCCATGCTGCTTCTTGTTAGCCTGCTTCTCACAGCGCCTCAGCCCCCTCTGGATGGCTCCTGGTGAGGCAGCATGAGCTGAGAAGCAGACTGGGGACCGTGCTGAGAGACCCCAGTGCTCTCCAGAGGTGAGAACAGCTGAACGCAGTGTGTAGGATCCGCTGCCTGCTTGGAGAACGACACTGCTTCTTCCCAAGTGTTCAGCCGCATTCAGATTAGCCGAGTTTCACATGCTCATTTGAAACTGCCACAGAAGGGCCTAAACTCATATTACCCCTCTAGGTTTATATAAAAGCTGAAGTAGGCCAACATTTTGCCAAAGTCAGTCCATGGACTGACACCAAAGGTAACATTCTCAAAGTTCTGGGGTAAAGTGAGAAAAAAAGAGGAGAACGTGTTGGTTTTATACAAGGTAGAGTGCACTCATTTAACAGAGGTGGGTTAAAATTTTTTTTTAATTTTTTTAGAATTAAAATATCCTCAGACTAATGAAAGTAGAGGGAGTTTAAGTAAAATATTTTACTCAAAAAAACAAAAACTAAAACAAAAAAACCCATGGTGGATCAATGACCCCCACTTTCTAAAATCTGCTGCTCCAAGGGGCGCCTGGGTGGCTCAGTAGGTTGGGCATCCGACTACGGCTCAGGTCATGATCTCACAGTTCGTGAGTTCGAGCCCCACGTCAGGCTCTGTGCTGACAGCTCGGAGCCTGGAGCCTGCTTCAGATTCTGTGTCTCCCTTACTCTCTGCCCCTGACCTACTAACGCTCTGTCTCTGCCTCTCAAAAACGAATAGACGTTAAATAAATAAATAGATAGATAGTAGATAGGTAGGTGGGTGGGTAGGTAGGTAGGTAGGTAGGTAAATCAATCAATCAATCAATCTGCTGCTCTGAGAGACACTTCATAGTCTGAGAGGCGCCATGGCCTTGGGGTAGAGAGTCCTGACTCCAAGTGCCAGTGAGAACTAAGCCAGGGAAATACAAAGAAATTTCCAGCTGATTTACGACAAGAATGGTGTTCTAAAATCAGGAGGAACTGTTTTTTGCTTTACTCCTTCAATTTCATAGTACGCAAGTCTACCGTTTTAAGCAAGGTCAACTCACAACCTTAAAGAAAAGGAAAGGCCCCCAAGAAGGTACTTACCGGATGAAGCTCTCCAATGATGTACGTTTTGGACAATTCTCTAGCATCTGTAGAGTGCCCGACATCCTCAAAGTTTTCAGTAGCATCCCCTCCAGCTTGTTCCCTTAGCACTTCTTCTCCACCAGGATGCTGTTTGAAGGAGATAAAAAAAAAAAAAAAAAAAAAAAAAAAAAAAAAAAAAATGCGTTTTTTCCAAGCAAATGAGTTAAAAGGAAGTGGTCAGTTTATTTAGCCAAATAGGCTACTTTGGAAGTCATAGATGACAATGTGTGAGTACAACTCATCCATAATGTGGGTGAGAACAGTATACTCTTTTGTATTCAATTTCCTTCTTGGAAATACAGAAAGACCTTTCTCCAATAGTCAAGATGCCCATTTCCCCAGGTATTCATATGGCAATACACACATTAGACACATATTTTTAATCCTTTGGGAATGTCTTCTTTGCTTTTCCAGAAAGCTCTCAAAATTGTTCTTCTTAATCTTTACCCAACCTAATTTTAATTCAGTCCTATATCCTGACCTTTGATTTCTTCGGTCTAAGTGTAGACTTATGCTACTACTCCTTAGATGATTAACTGTGTGATAATTCATCTTCAAAAAGCACCCCGTCTGCCCACCAAGCACAGGCAGAGGATAGCCTGTTGGACAGGCAAGCACATCCCCTGCCTCTCGCAGAACTTTCTAGGAGAAAGTTAAAGGAAAGCAAGCAGGTGCACCAGTGACTTGCTCGAGCTGCTGCCAGAGGGACAGATTACTTTTGGGGACTGCGGAGACAAGGAAGAAAGAGTAGCACTCTACGTGGGGTCAGGAAGAAGACCTCTGTGGAACGGAAGCACTTCAGTGCTCTTAGTTAGGTGCTTCGAATGGTAAAACAAAGAAAGGATGGTCACAAAGCAGCAAGGGGACTGACAAGAGCGGCCAAGGCACAAACACAGATGAAGTCCACAGATCTTCAGGCAAGGAAAGGAGTTCTCATTCAAGTCAAAAGAAAGAGCTTGGTTATTAGCATCCTAAATACTTTCATCGGGAAAAAAGTCTTCTTAAATTGAGCCTCAGTACTACCTTAGTTCAAATTTACCCCACCCTTAAGCACATCATCTATAAGTACGTGTCCAATAACTAAACAACTCTCCTTTGCATAACTGACTGCACTCTGTTCTTAATTTCTCCCAGTGATGGAAAACATAGAGGTACATGACAAAGAAGGGTAGATAATTACTCTGTTTTCAAATCCATCTCTCCTCCTACTTTGTTTAAATATATCTACTGCTATGGAAACTTACCAGTTTTCTTTTCCTCTCCTAGTGTAAAAGTTATCCATCTACATTATAGAAAAAATCACCCAATCACGTATGGTCTTGCCATCTCAATAGGGCTGGATATACATATAAGTATATGTGTGAATAATTTTTACAAGAAAACTGTGATCATTACCTTATGCATACTGTTTTGTTAGGTAAAAAGCAGATTACAATACATGTACTAAGAGCATTGCCTAGTGGTTACTTACTACTACTATGTAAACTTAGGAAAATAATGGTATTTATCTCATAGTTTTTGAAGATTAAACATGTTGATATATGTGCCTAGCATGTAACATACAACCAATGAGCATTACCCAGCATTTTTATGAAATATTTTCCCAATGTCATCAAGCATCTTTCCTCAACATGACTTTTCCAACAGCTATGTAATACTACATACCGCAGGAATTTCCAAACTTATTTAAATGTCTTCTACTGGGGGCACAGATCAGAAGTCCACTTTAAACAAACATGAGGGGCGCCTGGGTGGCTCAGTCAGTTAAGCGTCCGACTTCGGCTCAGGTCATGATCTCGCAGTCCGTGAGTTCGAGCCCCGCGTCGGGCTCTGTGCTGACTGCTCAGAGCCTGGAGCCTGTTTCGGATTCTGTGTCTCCCTCTCTCTCTGACCCTCCCCCATTCATGCTCTGTCTCTCTCTGTCTCAAAAATAAATAAATGTTAAAAATAATAATAATAAAAAAAATAAACAAACATGAGAAGCCACACCAGGGTACAGACAGCTGACTGGCTCACTCTGAGAGCCAATCCGAAGCTTCCTGATGTACCTCCAAGGCTGTGGCAATGGAAACCATGGTCTGTTGATTCTGTAACAATCTGTTTAATACTGGACATGGACTGAGGAGTACAGAAGCAAAACACGAGAGATATAAAATGACTAATTTAACTCAGCACCCACAAATTGTGTAAGTTCACATAATATTCTTTCCATGTGGGCAGCCGAACTCATGAGTTCCTTAACTTTTGGTTCCTGTTAAGGATATGTGAATATAGACAAATCTCCCAGAGCAAACCACTACTTTCCAGTTATAACCTATTATCTTCAAAGGAAATCTGCAAATGAGATTAAAAACACAGACTGGGGGCGCCTGGGTGGCGCAGTCGGTTAAGCATCCGACTTCAGCCAGGTCACGATCTCATGCGTCCGGTGTTCGAGCCCCGCGTCGACTCTGAGCGATGTTGAAAGCCTGGAGCCTGTTTCTTCCGATTCTGTGTCTCCCTCTCTCTGCCCCCTCCCCGTTCATGCTCTGTCTCTCTCTGTCCCATGAACATAAATAATATGAAAAAAAAAATTAAAAAAAAACACAGACTGGCCTTTAATAAAGCATCATAAAACTAAACAAGTTTTTAAAATAGAGAATTCTGGGGCATCTGGGTGGCTCAGCTGGTTGAGCGTCTGACTCTTGATTTCACCTCAGGTCATGATCGAGCCGGTGGAGTGAGCCCGATCACGTCCAGGTCCAATGCCAGTCACTGAGGCACTGAGCCTGCTTAAGATATTCTCTCTCTCTCCTCTCTCTCTCCTCTCTCTCTCTCTCTCTTCTCACTCTCTCTTCGCACCCTCACCCCTCCCCGGCTCACTCACACAAACTCTTAGAGCAACACAACAGTCCTCACCCAAAAAAAAGGGCAAGTTCTCAACTTAATTTCTGACCAAGCAAGGAAACAGGAGAGTATGTCTCTACATGTACATAAGCATGCATCTAGCTATGATTTAAGCTCTGCCTAAACCATCTCTGTGAGGTAGTTTTTTCAGGGGGAAAAAAAAAGTAAAACATCTTGGGTTCCACTGGTTCCACTGACCACTATTTAAGAAAAATTATAGCATCAACAAACTGACACTAAAATACCTTTGACCTTACTCTTAAGGATTTTTTAAACAGTAAACAAAAACAAAACAAAAAACTGACTGGGTGACTCAGTCAGTTAAGCATTCACCTCTTGGTTTCAGCTCAGGTCGTAAGCTCAGGGTTCATGAGTTCGAGCCCCACATCAGGCTCTGCACTGAAAGCATGAAGTCTGCTTGGGATTCTGTCTCCCTCTCTCTGTCCCTCCCCTACTTGCTCTCTCTCTCTCTCTCTCAAAATAAATAAACCTTAAAAAAAGTTTAAAAGTTGATTTTTTTTAATGTTTATTTTTGAGAGAGAAACAGAGCACAAGCAGGGGAGGGAGAGAGAGAGGAGAGGGAGACAAACAATCTGAAACAGGCTCCAGACTCCCAGCTGTCAGCACAGAGCCCGACCCCGGGCTCAAACCCACAAACCCATGGGATCATGACCTGAGCCAAAGTCAGAGGCTTAACCGACTGAGCCACCCAGATGCCCCAAAAGTTGATTTTTTTTTAAACAAAATAACTCAAGTCTTGATAAGACAGCAAAAGATACAGGACTGGCTGATTATAATATCAAATATTTTCCTTGAAACATATTTATGATGTGGGGAAGAGACACAGAGACACACACTTTGTAAAGTAAATCAAGTCTAATCACGACGGTTTGAAACTTGGTGATTCACCGTGTCACTCTCTTCACTCGTGAGCAGATTCACACTGCAGTCTTTTTTTTTTTTTAATTTTTTTTTAATGTTTATTTATTTCTGAGACTGAGAGAAACGGAACATGAGTGGGGGAGGGGCAGAGAGAGAGGGAGATACAGAATCCGAAGCAGGCTCCAGGCTCTGAGCCATCAGCACAGAGCCCGATACGGGGCTCGAACTCACAGACTGTGAGATCATGACCTGAGCCGAAGTCGGACGCTCAACCGACTGAGCCACCCAGGTGCCCCCACGCTGCAGTCTTAATACACACACATCTCACTGCACACATCTCATTTTAAGACTGTCAGCATTCTTAAGAGACAGACCTGGGGACACTGGCATTGGTGCCATCTTGGTTACTCCCAGGGATGGTGTACAACTATAGTTTCTGCCCAGAAACCCTGAGAAAACTTACTGCTATCTGTTAGGCAGCTTCTAGAACTGGAGAGTGACTCAAAGGAAAGGCAAGGCTTCAAAAGAGGTAAACAGTAGAATTAACAGGTGATGAAAATTATCTGAAGATTTTCTGAAAGATTTACGGAAAAGACCGAAGTACCTAGTCATACACACAGGCAAGATTAGAGGTAACAACAGAGGTGAGGCTCTCCTGAAGACTGAGCCAAGCACTGGTGAATTCTGTAACAAAAGTCTGTCCTCAGAAAGCAGCGCTCACTGGGGCTCCCACTTATCCCACCATGTGGTGGCAGTCAGCAGCCCAAAGAGAGAGCGATGGGAGGGAACACCAGGGGTGACAGTAAGGAGGACACAGGAAGGACAGAACTGGGTGCAGCTATGGAAAAGTCAGCCATTTCCACCGTAGCTGTGTCCTTCTGACATAAAGTCTCCCATTTTTCCAGACGAAGATTTCTTTTTCCACTTGCAATATTACGTGCCAAAGTCAATTCACTCAACAAACACACAACAAATGTCTCTATGCGACAGACACCAGACATGGGGAGCAGAGAAGGTCCCAGCTCCTGCCTGGGGAATTTATAAACTAATAGGGACCTCACAGGAATAATCTGCAACTGTACCACTGCAGGTGAAAATCAATGTTCTGAAACAAAAGAGCACACCGCCATGAAGAATACAGCAGGGACTCAGGAGTGGCTCCGCTGAGCTAAGATACAAAGCAGGAGTCAGGGTCAAGGAGGGGCAGAGACAGAGGGGTGAAGTGTCCCATGGGGGAGGGAACACAGTGAGCTCTGCGGCAGGGAGAGGCTGGCTCCGGGGAGGGCAGGCCACACAGGGCTCTAGATCTTTCTCCTGCA